GTCAAACAACGTTTATATTTTGGAAGCTGATTGAAGATAATAGTAGGTCCAGATTTATTTGGCGTACTTAAAACTTCTGTGAGGCAGTTTAGCAAGCCTTTATGCCTGTAGTGCCCTGTCGCTACGATTTTTCATTATTATTGTTAATTTCGTCACACTACATGCCCGGATATCTTTCAACACCAATGTAACTTAGTGAATATCATTCATCTGCACTCTTTACTTGCGTCGACCAATCAAATTTCCCTACCTCATCGGGATTATCATTTAGTCTATTATATCGGGACCTTTTGAACCAATTGAATGCTGACGTTCTTACGGCGCACCGTTTTTAGGCAGAAAGGAACCCGTTGATCGCCATACTCCCTCCCACATCAGCGGTTTGTCTCATGTGCTGCCCATGGAAAGTACCGATGCTTGTCTCATACAACCTGGACACCCGAACCGTGACAGTGTTGATTCCTCACCCAAGTTAGCCAGTCTCTTCTGGAGGCGGGCCTCTACTAATCTATGTCACGCTCCTTCCCCCTTCTACATCTGGGATGGCGCAAGTTGGTCAGATCTCCGAGTAAGAAGGGCTGCTCTCCGCTAACGTTTATGTCCCAGTCAAAATCCTGTACCGAGCATTTCGTTGCGTCTACATCTAAAGGACTACACTTGGCCCGCAGCAGCAAAGTGAATCTCCCTCAGGGCCGACTTCAAATCGGCGCCACGGATCCGCGTTGAGATTCTACAGTGTTCCGTTCATTGATGTTTTCGATATTGGCTACAGCACTCGATCAATCCTCTCTTGGTTTTCCTATTCCAGACCTCTTTTTATCTTCTATCTTCCTACTCATTCACCTTCATCACAAACACTTATAACCAATTAGCTTTGCACAACTTCCACACCGTAATCTTCAGAATTTAGTATTTCATTAGGCCTCAGGACAGGTCCCGAGGTATACATCGGAATGGGAGTATTTCACGCCCATTGACCTAAACACCAAAATAAGTTATAAAATTATATTTTCTGAATTTTTAAATTATTGTTGAGACCAAATTCATTAGCACACACATAAAGCGGAAAGCAGAACCATATATTTCAAACCAAGTTGTTTATTATTATCCTGAATTCTTATACGCGCAATATTTTTAAGAACAAAATAGCTTAGAAGTTGTTTGACCTTGT